CTCGTATACGGGGCTTGATCGACCGTAATTGTGCTGTCACTGACAGTAAATTAACGTAATTATACTGTCAATGATAGTTAATTAACGTAATTGTACTGCCGTTGACATTACATTTATGTAATTGTGTTGCCGTTGACAGTAAATTAATGCAATATTATATTTTTTTATTTATTATTATTTTTGTTTTATTTTTTTTTGATTTGTTGACAAGTCAACGTAATTATATTACTGTCGTTGACAGTAAAATAACTGTAAACACAATAATATTACTGTCAACAACATCAATATTATTATTTTTTTGTGGTGTTTGTATTAATATTACTGTCTATTATTGTAATATTACTGTAAACACAATAATATTACTGTGGTTGACGGTAATATTACTGTTTGTTATAGTAATATTCATGTCAACCACATCAATATTATTCTTTTGTTTGGATATTTTGTTTGTTTGAGTTATTCACGGAGTAACGTAATAATATTACTGTCTACTATTGTAATATTACTGTTGCTATAGTAATATTACTGTCACTCACAGTAATATTAATTCTTTTGGTTTTTTTTATTTTGTTTACATTTGTTGAACGGACAACATAGTAATATTACTTTATTATACAATAATAATGAATTTTGTTGTGTTAATATTAATGTGCTAGAGATTAATATAGCAATATCACTGTGTTAAACTATAGTTTCGTTATTTTTACTGTGTTTAACAGTAATATAGTTAATATTACTGTCATTCAAAGCAATATTGTTGTTTAAACGGAAAAAAAAAGTTACAGAAAAAAAAAATTAAAAAAAAAATAAAATAAAAAAAATAAAAAAAAGTCAACGCCGGAGACCGGTGTTTACCGCCGGTCAACGCCGGAATCCGGAAAAAAAATCCGGAAGAAAAAAAAAAAATAAATAAATAAATAAATAAAAAAAAAAAAAAATTAAAAGTCAACGCCGGAGACCGGCGTTGACCGCCGGTCAGCGCCGGAATCCGGAAAAAAAAAATCCGGAAGAAAAAAAAAAAAAAAAAAAAGTCAACGCCGGAGACCGGCGTTGACCGCCGGTCAACGCCGGAATCCGGCGGAAAAAAAAAGTTTTTGAAAAAAAAAAATTTGTGAAAAAAAAAAAGTTTTGGGTCAAAATTGAATAATTTGTGAAATTTGGGGTCAAATTGAAGTTAAATTAAGTTAAGGATGAAATTGGAGCATATAAAAGTAAGAGGGGTTATTTTAGTCCTTTACATAAATCTGGACCATGTGTGGACTTATTGGTAAAGGAGAATATTGTCTGGATCTCTTTATGAATAAGTTCCCACTGATGGGCTTATTTGTAATATGCCCTATCTTTTATGGGGGAAAGGAGAAAGATTTGTGATGATTTCTACTTATAATTGTGATTAAGATTTCTGGTTTCTCAGTTCATACTTTAATTAGAACACTAACCATCGTCATTAGCAATTAATTGGTCCTTTAATCATCCTAATTTAGCTTGCTTTTTATGTAACTACTTAATCTTTGATAAATTAAATAGAATAATTAATACAGTTGGAATCAGTAAAATATTAAATAATTGAACTATTAATTTAATACATTTTCAACAAATGGGGACCTGAATAAATTATTATTTAAGTGAGATTAAATTTATCAAAGTTGTACTGTAATTAAAAGAATATAACAAATTGAGAATATTATTCTAATATAATTAATTAAAATTCAGTCAATTGAAAGGGACCAAAGTAGGGGACCAATGTTGAATGAAATATTATGAGTTAGAAAAAAAAAATGTGCATTTGATAGGGGTTTGGTCAAAGTCAACATTGTGAACCAAAATTGCTAGTGGCAAACTCTTTCTTGAAATGGACACTTAACCACTAACTGTTAACAATTAAGATAATTATTACATTTTTATTATTAATTTGTTTTTTGAGAATTACTCACAAAAAATTGTAAAGCAGTAAAAATCTCTTAAACTTTAATTAAAATAGTATAAATTAAATATATATACAAAATACTATTAAAAAAACTACATAAACTAGAAATATTTGATGCATTAAAGTAATTTTCATCTGCCAAACTATAATTCTTATATTAATAAAACAATAAATGTAAATAAAAAAATACTATAATCCGACAAATTCTCATGACAAAATCTTTTATAAGATTGTGGTGCAAATTTATGTCAGATTAAGCTAAAATTAAATTATTTATAACAATCTGAAGGCATAGATCCTCTAATACAAATAGTTGAGGATATTTAAATTAATAAAAAAAAAATTAAAAAAGCAACAGGACAATATTTAATTAACTTAAACCGCACATTAGTGCAGGTAACATGTTGTAAGGAGGAGAATATAGACATACCAAAATTATTAAAAAATGAATATTTATGGAATTTTGGTTACGTTGGGAGCAGAGTATTGGGTCATAACATGTGATGTAATAAAGAATTAAAACAGTGTTTGGATAAAATAGAGATAAATATAAAAAGTTGTGGTCACAATTTGTCCACTGCTATTGAAACGATGTACATTATTTTCTGACCATTTTAATATCTTATTTAAAAATCCGAATATATATAATTGATTTTTTTTTTTTTTAATTAATAAAAAGAAGTATAAGTGCATTGGATAAATTTACACTCTCGTATAATAGTTTGCAAATCAATTGAGAGAATGTCATTTATTCCAACTACTAGATCATTATTTGCGGGACAATATATCATTGATAATATATGATTGGACGATTAATATTATTTCTCAATAGCTGATAAAGATATTAGCAACATTATTAATCGTAACTCTCAATCTTCCGTATTATTTGTCTCTTCGAAGAGTTTTTTTTGTTCCAAATTATTTATCACTTTACAATTCCAATGAATCATTAATAACTACACTATTTTCAATTTTACATCATTCTTTAATTGATTAACTGAAAAACTAATTATTCACTTGGATATTTTAGTAATTTTTTTTTTTACTATAACCTATGCACATTTATTGATTTTTTTTAATACGTACGCAACCACGAGTAACTTGATATAACTAATGCTCATCTTATGAGGAAGTCTGCTATATAGATTAAACAATATGAAGATGAATTAAAATATGAAATTGAATTTATATATGATTTGTCATAACAAAGAGTGTTCATTGAGATAAACAAAGTATTCAACTTTTAGCTTTTGTTTTGTCGGCCACAATTGCTTGGATTCTATTTCTAACATGGATTTTTGTGAACATATAAAATAAAATGGATTTGTACAATACAATATAATTGATAAAAAAAAAATCATTTAAGTATATCTATAATGAATGCTTATATATGCATGTATAAAACTAGGTAATTATTTCAATTTAGGTTATTTTTGAAAATTTCTCTACTAATATTTCTTTTTAAAATCATTTTTTGTATCTACACGTGTAAATAGAATGAACATCCAATATATTATCTTTAAGTAGTTTTATTTGTATGGTCTATTAGATGTTATATCTGGTGTGATGCAATGAGTGGTTTTGAATTGCATGTCTATATAGATAACTATTCATTAAGCACACGTATAAACGAGAGTGTATGTTATTATATACAGATCAATAATTCAAGATCATTCAGTGTATTTCAGAGAATGTAACATCGACAATACCTACATGTATTTCTTCTACTATCAAATTTATGAATGAGGTACAATTAAAAAAATATAATATATGATCGACAACTAATATATTCCAAAGAGATTATTCATTAGATATTGAATAATTGTATATGATTGCAACTTATAATATAATAAACTAGATGCAAAAATGGATACTATACTTGTAAAAATATCAAACTACTCGAGCTCGATTCATTATCAGAAAAATTCCAAATATGTTTAGCTTGATTTATCAAAACCAAGTTCAAATGCAGTTTTAAAAATTAAAATAAAAATTAGGAAACTTTTGAATAATCATAAGTTCATAATCATACGTTCGGCTCAACTCGATTATTTATACTCTACTTTACAACTATTGTTATAAACGGTGGAAATATATAATTAATGTCTTAATTAAACACTTTTTAGTTTTTAATTGAAATAAATTAAACATTAAATTCAATTAGCAATACAATTAGGCATAAGATAGTGGGGGTGTGATTGAATCCTAACTCCAAAGTAATCAGTCATGAGTAACCCATGTGACCCCATATGATTCTTTCATATATATATTTTCACAAAATAAATAAATAAATAAAAATTCTTTAAATTCTATTAATTAATTCAAATAAATAAATTATATATTTCTCAAAATTTGTTTTAAACATGGATAGCGTTGGATGCCATTATTATCGAAGTCCGAGAAGAAAAAAAGATGGATGAGTCGTTTTCCATTTTAAAAAAATAAATAAATAAATTAAATTATTATACATTATTTATTTATATATTTATTATTATTATTATTAATTTGATAAAATTCCAAACAGAAGAGGAAAAAGTTTAGTTTATTATGATAAAAGGAGGAGGCAACAGTGTCAGCTTGGCGTGCCTAACACTATAATAAAGTTTTTGAATTTATATATTTATTTTGATTGAAAAGATTGAGGGGTCCTCATTGGCTACCAAGATAAATAAATAAATAAATAAAACCGTAAATTACGGCCAACTCCCTAAGGTAAGGTTAAATTATGAAAATGCCTCTCATGTTTGGATAATTACAATAATCCACTCAATTATGAATCTATCAACACGTTGATTGCGATGTCAAATTTACTGGAATCTTCTACATTACGTGCAATATTCTATAATTTGTACTCGTTTTACCCCATTCGAACTTTACATTTTGATGTTTCTTGGCTTACAATTATCAGATCGTGGTGCATAAAAAACTGCAATTTTTACACAACACGAGTCGTCGAGTACAAGCTAGACAGTATTCCACTGAATGTAGAAAATTATGTTGAATTTGACACCGTTAGGGTGGACGCGTAAGAAGCTTCATAGTTAAGGGGGTTGGTTGTAATTATCCAAATATAAGGGGCTTTTTTGTAATTTATCCAAAATAAAAATAGGGGGTGAAAAAAGCAGCACGGCTATTTTTTTTATTAAAGTTTAATTTTTTTTTTAATATGTGTTGAACCTTTGGCAGTATTATTTACAGATTTTTATTGGAAAATGGTCATTTTTCTTGATTCATGGTTATAAAAAAGCATTCTTTATTGAAGAGGTAGAGAGAGAGAGAGAGAGGGGTTTGTTTTTTGGTGGTGGTGGTGGGGCGGTGGTGCTGATTCTAAAGGGATAGATGAGACTGCGAACATTCTGAAATCTGAACCCAACTGTGTGTATTTGTGTGTTTGTGTGTGTGTGTGTGTGTTTTGTGTGTGTGTAAAGACATGGTGTAGCTATGGTGGCTGGCAAAAGATTAGGGACAAGTCATCTTTTTTCTGGTAATAGTATTTTGGTGGTGGGGTTTAATTTGTTTTCTTTCCTTTGTTTTTTTTTTTTGTTCCTCTCAAAAAAAAAGTTGTATTGTCGTATAATATTGTTTAGTTAGTGCTCTTCTTACACCGTTTCTTGTACTTGTTTGTTCCCCATTCAGATTTGCTCTTCTTTCTTTGTATGGAGAGAGAATTAGGGCTTTTCTTTTTTATTTTATTTTTTATTTATTTTTCCCAATCTCAGGTGAAATGTTGTTATATTGCATTTTTCATGGTAAAGAATTGATATTTATGCATTTTCTTCACTTGGGTTCTGCTTTAAACCTAAAAAATGGGTTCTTGATTTGGGATTTGGGTAATTGATGTTTAGGGTTTTTTTTTTTACATTTCCAATTTCAAAGGAACAAATTTGTTGGTTATTGTGTTTGATTGTTCATATGTTTTTTGTCTGTGATTTAGGGTTTTTTTGTCCACCTCTTCTCTTACCGAGGTTTTTGTTTTGGTTTTAACAGGTGCTCTCTTCAACTTACATTGGTGAATGAAACTTCATTTTGTTGACAAGTGTGGATTTCTTGATTTCTAGAGAGAGAAACTCAGTTTTTTCTTTTTGAGAAGTATATAAAAAATCTCATCTTTGGGTCTTTTTTCTTTACAAAAAAGATCAACTTTTCTCCGTTTATACATATATTCTTCGTTTCGTTTGGCCTCCAATTTGCTATTCCGACTTTCGATTTGAGGTGCAAGTGATTGAATTGGAACGAACTTTCGCCTGTAAAAATGAAGTTTATGAAACTTGGATCGAAGCCTGATCAGTTTCAGACAGATGGCGACTCGATCAGGTTTGCATATACTCTGTCTATGTTTAGTAATTTCTTTATTATGTTCATCGGAGTTAGTTTTGTTTAAGCTTTTAAATCACATTTTCCCATGTCTGCATTAGGGTAAACTAGGTAATTGATTCATTTGCCCGTGTCGTTAAATTGAAAAAAAAGGAACGTAGAATCGAAGTGCAACTTAAAGTATTCATAAGTACTTCGATCGAAGTTCCTCCTTTATTATTTATAATCTTTATTGCAAAATCCAAATTTTGACAAGCATTCGTATTTCAGGTATGTAGCAACCGAATTAGCAACCGACATGGTCGTTAGTGTAGGTGATGTCAAGTTTTATGTCCACAAGGTATTATTTCCCTAAAAACATTTTTTCCCCGTTTTCGAATTTAAAAGAAAAAAAAAAAAAAGAAAACTTTTTTACTAATAGCAATACCCTGTATGTAGTTTCCTCTTCTCTCAAAGAGCTCCCACCTCCAAAAGCTCGTCGCCACATCAAGCGATGACATCAGCGAGGAAATTGACATCCACGATATACCGGGCGGGCCCGCAGCATTCGAGATATGTGCCAAGTTCTGCTACGGAATGGTCGTAACCCTAAACGCCTACAACGTGGTGGCCGCTCGATGTGCGGCGGAGTATCTCGAAATGTACGAAACCCTCGAAAAGGGCAATCTTGTCTACAAAATAGACGTATTCATTACGTCGAGCATATTCCGTAGCACCTGGAAAGATTCCATCATCGTACTCCAGACGACAAAATCCCTCCTCCCATGGTCCGAGGAATTGAAGATTGTGAGCCACTGTCTCGATTCGATCGCCACGCGGGCGTCCGTTGAACCCTTGAGGGTCGATTGGTCGTACAGTTACAATAACCGTAAAACAGAAAACGGGTCGGACCCACATTGGAAAACGGGCGGGGTTAAAAAAGTGCCTAGGGATTGGTGGGTCGAGGACTTGTGCGAACTCCAAATCGATTTGTACAAACGGGTTATTACAACGATACGAAGTAAAGAAAGGGTGTCCGAAGGTGTTATCGGAGAATCTTTAAAGGCGTACGCTTTAAAACGACTTCCGATTTTCGGCAATATCCAAGGGGGCGATATCCTGAAATACAAGTACTTGTTAGATACCATAATTTGGTTGTTGCCGAAGGAGAAAAATTGCGTTTCTTGCAGCTTCTTGCTCAAGTTACTACAAGCTTCGGTGGTTTTGGAATCGGGAGAAACGGGGAGGAGGGAGCTTATGAGGAAAATTGCGGAGCAGCTCGATGAGGCGACAGCTGGCGATCTCTTGATCCGTTGCCCTAACGGCGAATCGACGGTGTGTGATGTGGATTTAGTGCGTGATTTGATCGAGCGGTTTGTGATGATGGAGCATAGTGATGACGATGATTTTGCTTCGGAAGCTTCCAAGGCTAAGGTGGCTAGATTAGTTGACGGCTATTTGGCGGAAGCTGCGAGAGATTCGTCTTTGCCTTTGTCGAAATTTGTGGATTTAGCGGAAATGGTGTCGGGTTTTCCGAGATCGAGTCATGATGGGATTTACCGAGCGATTGACATGTACCTCAAGGTTTGTTTATTCGAATCATTTTTACTCTTTCCGGGTTTTTTCATTTTACCCTCTGCTTTTGACTTAATTTTTGAGTTCATTTAAGGTCTCGTTTGGTTGACAACATAAATCTTGATTAAGTAGTGAAATAGTTAGAACTTTTTTTTTAATTTCATATATACAATTCACGAATTTGAGGCCCTTTCATTATATATATTTTCATTAAAAAAATTGGGCGTCGAGTACAATATATATAATTTATTTTTCGGACCCACCCATGCCTAATTATAGGGCCAACCTTGAATAAGGCATTGTTTGGTTGGTAAGATAAGCCATCATTAATTACATAACTAGTTCTTGTTTGATGTTCGGTTAGTGCAATAAATTTCCGGGCCCCGAGCCGGGCCGGCTCACAGAGAAACTTGGCTTATTAGGTTATACAATTACTTCTCATAAGATTTCGTGCTCTAATCTTGGGAACCAAACAAGAAAATAATATTTTCGAGTCGGTCCGAAAATATCGGGTGGGTCCGAATATTTTAGGAAGAATTAGCTCTTATCTTGATATATATTAAGGAATTGTGTCTTGGGCTGCAACAAAATTGCTTAACTTTATTCTAAAACCAAAAGTTGTCCTATTTTTCTTTTGCAGGAGCACGCGGGATTGAGCAAGAGTGACAAGAAGAGAATATGCCGGCTAATGGATTGCCGTAAGCTATCCCCCGAAGCATGTTCGCACGCGGTGCAAAACGAGAGGCTGCCCTTACGAGTAGTGGTGCAGGTTCTTTTCTTCGAGCAATCTCGTGGGGCCCACGATTTGCCGGGCCCCGTTAGGGCACTCCTCCCGAGGGGATCTTACGGGAGCTCTAGGTCAACCACCACTAACTCCGACGATGATTGGGAAGGGAATCAAACGTCCGAAGAATTGAAGGATTTGAAAGGGGAGCTCGCTTCTCTTAGGTTGAGAAACAACAATGTAGGAGGTGGTGGTAATAATAATAATAATATTAATAATAATGGTGACGATATTATTAAGTCGAAGAAGGTGAAGAAGGTGTTTTCGAGGCTGTGGTCAAATAAAGAAAGGCAGGGTGAGAATAGCAGCTCCGATACTACTTCGGAGAGCTTTGCTTCCACGAGCGCCGAAGAGAAAAATGAGGTGGCGGTGAAAGTGAAAGTGCTTAAACCAGTACAACGGAAGTGACACTTGGCAGAAAATGATTGGGCGGATGAAAGAGTAAATTTTTAGTGCCGGGCTTTTGGAACTTTCAAGATAGGGAATTTGGGTGCTGAGGAAAACCGGTAATGTAATAGTTTCATTTTGGAATTTTTTGGTTATTTATTTTCAAGCAGAGAAGAAAATTGTAGGTTTAGTTGTGTATTAGTGGCCACGAATTTGTAGTAACGAGACCTTGTTTTTTCCTCATTTGTTCAATCGGGTTTTACCTTGACGCTAAATCTCCGTGAAAAACGGGATCGGAGACAAAAGATTCATATGCAAAAACACAAGTGAAAAAGGCTGCGTTTTCGATACGAGTTCTTGTAAGTGATGAAACTCAAACTCGAAGATTCAGGTTATGTGTTTGCACCCGAAATGACTATTCATTTTGCGATTCGACGACACGGCGATTTCGCGAAATCTAAAGTTATTTCCAAAAGAAAATATTGGAGTCGAAAGCACGAAACTTAATCAGAATTTCGGACATTGTTTATAGCCTCAATCCTTGTGTTTCTCAGCCCTATACAGTAGAACATCGACTCGATAAATTAATAACCTCGATTAAATAATAGCTTCTCCCAGTTCCGACTCAGTGAAAACGTATTAAATTATTAACTCGATAATTTAATAATTCGCTAAATTAATAGGAATTTTCTTAGTCCCGACTGTATTAATTTATAGAGGTTTAACTGTATTTTCCAGCCAGAGCCGTAAACTGTTCAATCTCAATCCTCGATTCTTTCTCGGCCAACCATTGATCAGATTCAGCCCTCACACGTTCATTATCAGCCCTTCGTTCTTCTTCGATAGCACTAACGTGGTAATTATTAGCCGTGACGAGGTACCTGTAAGCCCTCACCAAGTAGCCGTTGTGACAGAGGCCCATGCGGAGGCGTCTGTGTAGGGTTTCAACAATCACGTCCCGCAGCTCCGAGAGCCGTTCCTTTAGCTGCGAGCACGTGTGGTCCCACGGTGTGTTGTGGGGCCCAATCGCGTGGGACCGGAATCGGGCGCACCGTTCCGTTTTTTAAGTCGATGAAATTTTGATATATTTGAGACCATGTAGATGGCGAGGGAACCGGCGGCGGCAGCTTGTTCAGCCTGGCTGCCGTCGCGTATTCTAGTGCGTAATGGACTTCACGGTGGTCCTTGTCCGACAACATTACTTTTTTTTATTAATTATTTCCCCCCCTGAATTTCCTGGATAATACACACACACACACCAACACAAATCTGGATTTTAAATGCAATTAAATGAAAAGGGATTTGAATTTGAAATCCACCAAAATTGCTAAAACAAATTTTCTGATTTTAAAAATTATCTGATTTCAATTCCAATTCTTCGTTTTGAAATCCAAAATCCAAACATAGCCTAAGCCTAAGAAATAAACATTACGGAGAAAAACAGGAAAATTACTGTTTACATCCCTCAAGTTTGCACTGATTTCCCATTTGGTCTCAATTTTCACAAAAAAAACACATCTGGTCCCTTATGTTATAATAATTTAACACTTTTGGTCATTTCCGTCAATTTACTGTTAATTCGTCTGTTAAGACAGTGACGGCACAAGTTTGATACTAACGGAAAATTAACGGAAGAAAACTGAAAGGGTTGAATTTTTGAAATATGAAGGATCAAATGTGTTTTTAATGAACATTGAGGATCAAATGTGAAATCAGTGCAAACTTGAGGGATGAAAACTATATTTTTTCTCGAGAAAAGCAATAAAAATAATTTCAGACAAAAACACAATTACAATTAAACCTCTATAAATTAATACAGTAAGGACTCGGGAAATTCTATTAATTTAGCGAATAATTAAATTATCGAGTCAATAATTTAATACTTTTTCATCGAGTCGGGACCGTGAGAAACTATTATTTAGTAGAGATTATCAATTTATCGAGTATTAATTTATCGAGGTTCTACTGTGTATAATATGAACGCAATAATAAAGAAATCGAACGAGAAAAAAAAAAAAAAAACAGCGCCAAACCTTTCGTTATCTTCAACCTAACCGCAATTTACACAAGATATTCAGGATTTAAAATAAAATAAAAAAAAAAAAAAAAAAAAAAAAAAAGCAGAAAAATTATTAGCGTACCTTTAAAGACTGACGAACCCTAGTTTCGTTGTTTGAAAAAGGATTTGAAATTTTGGATAAAAAAGAAGGCCTTAATTAAATCTTGGGCCTAACACTTTGTACTTTAATTGGTCCTGTTTAATATTTCTTTCACGGGTCAAACGAATACTGTCATATTTATTAATCTTAGCGAATCTTTCCAATCAAATCGGGCCTAACTATTCTAACTTCTATATCATACTTTTGGGGATGTATGTAAACATAACATTAATAGTTACAATTAGGGGTGGTAAACGAGTTGAACCGCTCGTAAGCTCGATGAGCCGGCTTAAAAAAAGTTCGAACTCAAACTCGAGTTTTTCGAGCTAGAGCTTGTTTTTAGTTATTCGCAAGGTCACGACTCGAGAGGTTACGAGCTAGCTCGCGCGCCTTACTATTTTATTTTTTCTTTGTTTTTATATATTATTTTTTATTTAAATAATGTATAAGAATATAAAATATTATAAAAATAACATAGCAAAACATATAAATATGAAAAAAATATATATAATTACAGTTTATTATTTGTTTTATTACAATCTAAATATTTTTTAATAATTAAAAAAAATGAACGTGAGCTCGAGCCAAAAAAATAAACTCGACGAATTTGAGGTCGACAAAATGAATTCGAGCTCGAGTTCGGTCCGTTCACACACCTGACAGAAAATCTTTGCAACAACACCACCAAATTTACAAATAAAGAGGGGATATTCCCTTTTTAACCAAATCTTCTATTCTTATCCCACCACATCCTAGTGTTTATCCAAACACATCACTAAAACCTTAAACAAAACAAAAACCCAATTCGAAGAAATTAAGAAAAAATAAAATAAAATAAAACAAAAGGACTTTTGTTGTTTTGCTAAAACAAAAGGACACTACTAGGAAGATTCTAGAACTCTCTAGGATCAACAAAAATAGACAGACCAGGTGGTGACTTTGTCCAGTCACCCACACACCCGTCACTGTAGTCTTCCCCCAGCCTCTTAATGCACCACAAATCCTCCGCGCACGATAAGCTTTTCCAGTGCGGTATTCCTAACCTGAGCGGCTCCCTCCCCGCCACCTCCGTCGCCACCACTCCACACCCACGCGCCTTCGCGAGATTGTGTGCCACCCCACAAAGGGCTTTTACGTAACTCACCGCATTTGGGCCTTCGCCTCCAAGCCCATACAAGAAATGAAAACCGAACGGTCTGAAAACCTCCGGAACCGAAGGGACACGCAGCCACGGAAAAACCCGGTCCACCACGCGCGTGGTCTTCGCCACCGCCTTCCTCACGCGCGACGCGCCCCGGACCTCGAGCCTGAAAACTTCCTTGCAGTTCCAGATACTGATAACCGCCCACGACTCCGGCGGACTCGCCAGAAACTCCTCCGCCCCCGGCCACGACGCGGCGGAGCACCACCGTCTCGGGACTGCGAGGAATGTGCCGAGACTGAGCCTGTTGTTCAGAACCGAGTCGATGTCGCGGGGGAAGAACTCCGTGGTGGAGAAGCGGCGGCGGTAGAGGACCTCCGCGTCGGCGGGGCCGAGCTCGACGACGGCGACCCGTTTATCGACCCTGACCCGGTGGGCGAAAACGGGGTGCACTAAAATGGAGGGTGTACGGAATTTGGAGTAGCCGCATTTGTGCGTGAAGAGGTTAACGGATGCCACGTTGTCGTTTTCCGTTGCCATGTAGGAATATTCGGCGCCGTTTTCGGAGAACCACGCCTCCATTCTTCGCACCAGCTTCACCCCAATTCCCATTCTCCTGCAAAATAATTAAAATTTAAAAATTAATTATTTTTTTTAATTTAATTGGTAAATTGTCCCTACAGTTTAAAGAAATATTATTTTTCACACGTAAATATAGAAATAAGACCAAAAAGGGACCTCTTGTGATTAATAATCCGTTTCCGGAAAGAAACTTCGATTTTTAGAGAGAGAAACTGTTTTAGAGAGAGAAACTGTTTTAGAGAGAGAAAGTAGTACCGATGAAGAGGAGAAACACGGAGGCCTAAAATGTAGGCGAGTTTGGTGGAGAGAGGGAGTGGTTTGGCGTTTCCGCAATTGTTATTATTTCTGGTGAGCTTCGTTCCGCACGTGACGGTTTTGATGCAGCCTCTTATCATCCCAACTATCTCTCTCCTTTCATTCTCACCTGCGCCGCCGCCGCCGCCGTCGACAACCACCGTCTCCGCCACCAGCATGAGATAGGCGGGGGAATGGCGGACGCGGCAAATGGGGTCGCCCAAGAGGTCGGTGTAAAGCGAAAGTTTGCCGCTCGGCCCACCTCACATCTGTTCTCCACTTCCTCCACCGCCGCCCCGATCCTTTCCCTCGTCGTATTCCCTCACCACCACCGTCGCCGCCGCCACGCCGCCGTCTTCCGCCGCCATTTCTCCTCTAATTTAATTCCGTATACATACACACACACACGTCTCTGTATTTATAAATGTAGGTGCCCTTTGAAAGGCCAATGACGTGTATTCGAAGTCAGAAAAAAAGCCTGAAAAATCTAAATACGGTTATAAAGAGGGCTAAAAAAAGTTGCAGAGAAAGAACAGCACGAGGAAGATAAAGGTGCAAAAAATCGTGTTTCTTAAACACGATTTTAGTGCGAGAGAAAAACGTGTTTTCTTCAGTAGAGTTTTTCTCAGAGCTAGGTTTATGTTGGACTAGTGCTCCGTTTAGTAACCTTTTTATACTTGGTTTCTGAGAGGGGCTTTCACTTTTAGGTTTTCTTTTTAATTTCTAATTTTTTAAATGGAAAATTAATTTTAATTCTGTTAAGAAAAAAGGAAAAAAAAATTAGAAATTGGAATTAAAACATTTGTTTCTAAATCAAAAAATTCAACTTTTTCATTCACCTATAATATATAATCCATAATAATATTTGATATAACAAATATGATTTTTTGAAAGTAATAAACTTTTCAAGATTATTTTATGTAAATTAAAAATTGAAATCTTGTGATATCTCAATTCTGATTCAAATAATATATAGCTGGAAAGCTCCAAATTGAAGGTTTTCAGCCGAATTCGAAAATTCTATTCCAATTCCAAATTAATATTTAATTATTAAAAAAACAAGGGGGGGGGGGGGGTAGGGGTATTTGGTAGCTTTACAATAATTGGGTGCATATTCGACAAATAAATAGCAAAATCTTAACTTAGATCTTCAATTGCTTTCAAGGAAAATTCCCTTTAAAAAAAAATTCCAACTTTAAATTTACCCCCTACAATTTTTGTTCTTTCTTCTTATTCTTTTTTTTATTGTGTAAATAATATTAAATATTATATAAAATATTTTTGGGAAAGTCTCTATCGATTCTTTTTCCATATATCTCTTGGGCTTTCTCTGTAGGACCGATGAAGTGCTAATAACATAATAATTAGTATTAATTATTATTTATTAATTACTATTATTTATTAATTTATTATTAATAATAATGATTACGAAAAGGTGATGGAAGAAGAAATGGCGGCTGTGGCTGCGGAGTGGTGTCTCTTTCTATTTAATAATTTATTTATTTACGTTTCCATCATGACCCCATTTGCAATGATTACTTTTATTTTATTTTCTATATTTACATACATAATAAATGACATGAATTTGTTTAATTTCATATTGTATGGCATTTCATGTGGAAGTTATAATCAACTTTTTATTTCGAATTTCATCGGTTTCAATTAATTTTAAAAAAGTTATTTCCTTGAATTTCTTCAATTTTTGATTTTTCTTTTTATATTCCAATTTCGTAGAGCTTTTTATAATTGTTCGTGAGCTCAGGAGCGGGGTCGGAAGGTTTTCTTTTATATATATTATTTTTTATTTAAATAATATATAATATATAAAATATTATAGTTATTAAATAAAAAGAACAAATAAATATTTAAATGGGGTTATTTTACATAAAGTAGGGATAAACCAAAGCCCCAATCATCCTTTGACATACCCCTCTGGAGAACCGAAAGTACTATACTGCCCTTATATGCAATTTTCGGCCAAACTGCATTCAGCATTTTTGGTCCTGCATTTATCATTTTCGCTGATTTATTTATTATTATTTTTTATTTATTTATTTATTGTTAAATAATAATACACATGTTTACTGTACTGAAAATATATACTTATTTATTTTTATTTTTATTTTTTTAATTTTTAAAACAATATGTTTACTGTACTGAAAATAACTACATGTAACTATAGTACCTATAGTAATTCGTCGTTATGTTCGTTTTTTTTCCCTATATTTTTAGTCGATCAACTGTACACACACACGAATACTGGCTTATACAAAAGAAATTCATAAAACCCAACAAAAATTTACAAATTCCAATATTTTTATTATAAATCACCTCAAAACTAATAAAATACAAATAAAAAATACACAAATATATGCACATGTAACTACATGTTACTACATGTATAGTAATTTATAGTAGTGTATAGTAATGTATACAGTTTGTTGAACACTGCTTCACATGTAACTTCAACCAAATTTTTGACACCTTCAAGGAGGATCAATGGCTTTCATTAAGCTGCAATTGCGAAATCAAAACAAAAGAAAAATTTACTTTAGTGCAAATCAACAAAATTTGAAGAAACATCAAAACACTAAAAAATCAATAAACACTAAGAGATCGAGAGATAGAGAGAGAGGTTATTGCTGGGAAATGCTACATATTTTAAATCAATCAGACACTGACTCTTCATTCCCCTCGCCTCCTACCAAAACCGTACCCTAGGCGCCGCTAATAACCACCCACAGTTCCGCGCGCCCACAAATGCAAAAATTAGAAATAAATCTGAAAACATAAAAAACAACGAAATTACCATCAAAATATAGATCTCGACGAGAGGAATCCAACGATGGGTAGCTCGTCAAATTTCGACAGGTGGAACACAAAATACACTTCCAGCAGGACCACCGTCGTTGAATGAAAAAAAATGGCAGAAACAGATCTGCGCTCCAAACTGAATGAAATCACCACCAAAAGAAAGAGCTCAACGAGAGGAATCCAACGGTAGTTAATGTTTATTTTGTAATTTTTTTTATATAATCTAAATAATTTTTAATAATAAAAAACTAATAGTAACTAAAAAAATATCAAAATGAGCTTGGGTTTGGGCTCAAGCCTACCAAAACAGACCATACTATTAATCACACCCCTAATAACATGTTATTCGTCTTTTACTTGTTTAACCACCTCCTATAAAATTAATCTTAGCGTGAGAGGTGATACTATTTTAACGAAATAGTAATAGCATTTAAAAGCGGAATTTAACTTTTGTAGTGTATTCGGGTAAATGAATCTCATCAATCGAAGGTGTTATTTGCCCCGATAATTTAGTTTAGTACAACCTAATAGTAGTAACTAAACAATGTAACCACGGTAGAAAACGTATTTTTTCATGATAAAATGGAATAAGTGAGGAGATAAAGACTGATTTGATATTTTTATTTGATTACAGTTTTGAATAAACAAATAGAAATGATTTAATTTCTGATATAAGTTGTATTTGATAGATACTTAAACCTATATAAATGTCTACCATTATTCTTGTAACAAACTATATAGGGAACCTTTTTAGGCACGACATAATGATCAAATACAAAGAAGAAATTAATAAGATTATGTGTTGATTTCAAATCACTCAATTTTGAAAATACATAATAATTAATATACCTCAATACTCATTTTTTCAATAAATAAATTATACATTATGCACCTCACAAAAGAAAAAAAAATATTCTTGGTCGATTTATATAGAAAAATATACACCACGTGTATTAGTGGCATATAAGATGCTGCATCTGGTGTACTTAATTGGCCGGTTTTGAACTGTAAATCTATATAAATAACAATTGACTAAGTATACATATATAAGAATGTGTGTTATTATGTCTAGGACAAATGTTCAATATGATCATTTGATGTATTTCATCAGGTGTAACATCATAATTACCGATATAAGTGGTCGTTGTTTACGAAAGTTTCGGTATTTATCGGTGGTCGGTTTAATTTAATTAAAATGCAAAAGATATGATATATAGCTTATTGGTGTAGGGTTTATTTATTAATCACAATAAAAAGGTAACTAAAGAAACGTCCAAATAAGTAACTCCATGATCGATAATGGAGTACATGGAATATATAAGGAGCACTAATTCATTTGGTTGATGCCTAAAGTTATTAATGATTGGATACTTAGGGTGAATGATTGGTTTTCTTTTACTAAGTGCGCATTAAGATTAGTAGTAATTATTTATAAGGGTATCTAGCTAAACTTATTTTAAATATATATTGTTATCTTATATGTAAGAACTTATCAGCTCTTATATTTTTAATTAAAACCCAAGAAGTGAAAAATTGAATATTTGGAAGTTGGGGAAGTAAAAATTGTTCCAAAGCTCGAATCTTTTGAATTGAAGAAGCGGAAAAATTGAAAATTTCGTTCCGACTTTCACTTTTAGTTGAATTATCAACGGACACGTAGATATCTATTTACATGCTACGTGCTACTAATCACTTATGTTAGAACCCTAATCAAGGGTTCATATCAAAGAAGAAATCAAAGAAGGGAGAAGAAGAAGAATTTTATTGAAGAAGAAAAAAAAGTGTTTTACAACGGTAACAAAATCAGCTTTAAATAGCTGTTACAATAACTACCTAAAAGTGCTAAAAGAAAGGAAAAACTAATAAAAACGTAATATCTAAACACGTTTTATTAACAACAGAAATATAAAATGATAAATGCTATAAAGAAATTACTAAACAACGTATATAACAACTACATATCCAATATCCCCCCTCAAGATGGACTTGAGCAAGCATAAATGTTGAGAAAAGCCATCTTGGACAACAAATGTGTAAAAGCAGGAAGAGGCAATGCTTTAGTGAAGAGATCTGCAAGCTGATCACAACTTTTAACAGGCATGAGTCTGAACTTCTTCTGTTTAACCTGCTGCCTGACAAAATGACAATCAATTTCTATATGTTTAGTCCTTTCATGAAATGTTGGATTAGAGGCAATATGAACAGCAGCCAAATTGTGACAAAAGAGCAAAGTGGAAGGGGGAACAGCCTGAAAATCACATAACAGCTGGAGAACCCAAACCAATTCACTAGCTGTGGTAGCTAGAGCTCTGTATTCTGCCTCTGCAGAAGATCTTGAAACAGTGACCTGTTTCTTGGACTTCCAAGAGATCAAAGAGTCACCCAAAGAAATACAAAATCCAGTAGTAGACTTTCTGGTATCAAGACAAGATCCCCAATCAGCATCTGAAAAACCTTTGATAATAAGATCTGAAGCAGATGAGTAAAATAAACCTTGACCCGGAGCTGCTTTAAGATATCTTAATAGATGATGAACAGCTTGCATATGTGAAGTACGAGAAGCAGAAACAAATTGGCTAAGTTTATGAACAATATAAGCAATGTCTGGCCTAGTAATGGTAAGATACAAACGCCTGCCAATGAGCCTTCTATAAGCTGAAGAATCTGCCAGTAATTCACCATCTTCAGAAGAAAGTTTCAATTTAGGATCCATGGTTAAAGTAACTGGCTTACAATCTGTATATTTAGCATCAGCAAGAAGAGTGAGAGCATACTGCCTCTGGGAAATAGAAATACCAGAATGAGACCGGGCAATTTCAATACCCAAAAAATACTTCATAGGACCAAGATCTTTGAGCTTAAACTTAGTACTCAAAACTTGCTTAAAA